CAGATCTTCGGGCCTGCCATGGTCAACTTAGTCTTCAACAAGGCCCACGTCCGTCGAATGCGCTGATGGAGATGAGGCTGGTCCTGCCAAAATCTGATCCACTGTCGAAGGGACTGCACGCGAAGCTGGACTCCAGGGTCCGAACCGTCGAATGTAGTACCCAGTAGCGTGGTTAAGCAACGCCCCGCCGCTTGACCAGTGGCAGCTGCTGCTGCCTGCCTCCTCCATCTCAAAAGTGCATGGCGAGCCAACCCTCGGACTTGATGGCCATAGACTCCTTGGGGCAGGGAACCTGTGGCCCAAAGGCCCCTGGCGATACGTGCCTGCTGAGCCGTGTTGCGCATCTTCACTATGCGCTTGGTCCTGGTGGTGGCCGCCCGAGCCCGTTCTCCAGCTTTCTTCTGGACTCTGCGGGTGCCCGCTGCCATGTCTATGCCCAGATCGGTGGCCGTCGTCGCAGCAGGGACAGGAACTCCACGCCTTCGAAGATTGTGCTCCAGCTTCACTCGCACCTGCTTGCTGTTGGAGAGGATCACGGTCTTGTCGGAGACAGGGAGCTCAGCATGATCCAAGGCCGCCTTCAATTCCGCTCCCGCCTTGGTCAGCTGCTGCAGCACTGAGGCTGCCGTGCCCTCCGACCTTGCCACCGTGTCATCCACGAAAGTCCACATAGTAGCTCCCTCCGCCCGTCGCTGGGCATGCGTGAGGATGGGGAGCAAGAACAGTCTCGCCAGGATAACTCCGCGTGGAGAGCCAGCAACAATTCCTTGTAAAGCGTAGATGGGCTCAGCAATCCAGCCCTGTGTTCGCAGAATCCTGGGGCTGAGAAAGAGCTGAACCCCCAAAAGTAGACATATTGCAGGAAACTCTTCATCCAATCCCACTTCTATGAGTCTTGCCAACTTTACATGGTCATAAAACTTAGCGAGGTCCATCAGTAGGGTGCCGACTGTCAAGCCCATGGTGACCGCCGACTCGTCAAGAAACGCCCGATGTAGTGCTGCAGAGAGGGCCGATGAGCCTTTCATAGCAGTACACCAGAAATCATGCAATCCGTCACTCCACTTATATGAGGCAGCTCCTCTGATGCGACTCCATGTGCGTGCGATATGAGGGAGGACACCTAGCACACGATCGCCTCCTGCTTTCTTCGGCGCCATGGCCGCCAATGCGGCCATGACCTGGGGAGGCCAGACACCTTGCATCTCGATAAGATTGAGCATGTCAGTGTACTGCTGGAGGGCCTCCTCAGGCAAGCGTAGCATATCTCGTGGCCCAATCATGTCCACACCCTTCGCCTTGAAGGCTGGCATTATAGCCAAGGTTCTCTTCAGCTGCTCCAGTTGGATGGTATCAGGAGGGTCCTCTCGGACCTGCCGCCGAGCCTTATCCAGAGCTTCCAGGATCTGCTGCTTGGACTCACGGGGTGTCCAAACCTTCTCCCATTCCTGCCGCTTCGCCTCCATGATCAGGTTCGGGTTGGAGACCGTTGTGCCACTGATGTAGATTTCCAGACGCTGCTGCTCCTGCGGCTTGACCTGGCTATGCAGAACACCAGGCTTCGCCTTCCACATGTCAGCGAGCCAACCCGAATACTTTTTCTTGGACTGGTAAGAGGCATGCGCGGCAGCACGGCCTGACCAAGCCTCCGTGCGTGAGATGAGCTCCGATCGTTCGTCGTCCTCCAGGATGGTGATGGTGCGTACCAACTCCGACCATCGGAAAACCTCATCCTCCTCCACCTTCGGTAGTAGCAGGTCTCGCTTCCTATGGAAGTCCGTGACTCTCTGATGCAACAGGGTGGGATTAGCCACTGCAAGGTTCTCATGCTTCTGATGCTTGCACAGAGCGATAATCTTCCTGACCAACGTCAGGGTGATCGCCCACCACTCCGCAGGCTCGTGCGTTATGTGAGTACGTCCTGGGCAAGCCGCTGTCTTCTTCCATTGGAATTGCACTCCGTTTGCCCTCCCAGAGTAGGTGACTTGCTTCTCTGCTGGAACAGCATGATGGTTCAAAACCGTTGCCTCGAAGGTCGTCATCCACTTGGCATAGTGCACTGACACACACATGGTCGCCTCAGGGTCCCTCTCGTGCAGAAAATGAGGAGGTAGACCCCATGATGTAGCGACTCCCGTACCAGCTCCGACCTTGTCGACCAGCTCCAAGGGGGGCGAGCACGCCCCACGATTTGAGGCCCGTGGCCACCCGTATGGGCTCTTGGGGCCCCCGCTCCCCTTAATGGCATACAATCGATCTCCTGGACCATCCCCAGAGAGACAAATTGGGCCCCCCTCCAGCAGGCGAGTCCTCCCTTGCGGGTGCTGCGAGCCTGCCTTCTCTGGAGGCCCAACCGTGTCGTAGGTGCTCAGCGTGACATTCGCGTCGAGGGTGCCCAGGGTGTCCCTCCAGCGTTCAGCCGCGCCCATACCAGTAGCTGTAGTAACTCCAGTCGCACCAGTCTCGACGATGCCGAGCAGCTCTAAGGGGGGCGGGCACGCTCCCACGATTTGAGGCCCGTGGCCACCCGTATGGGCTCTTGGGGCCCCCTCCCCCCTTAATGGCATACGATCCATCTCCTCGCGCGTCCCAAGCGATGCAAATGGGGCCCCCTCCAGCTGGCGAGTCTCCCCTGTCGGGCGCTGCGAGCCTGCCTTCTCTGGGGGCCCAGCCGTGTCGTAGATGCTCCGCGTGGCATTCACGTCGCGGGCGGTGCGGCTCAGCGTGTCCGTCATGTCGTCCTGGTGGCGCCTCCAGAGGCCCAGAGGGATGGCAAAGTCGACTCCGCTCACATAGTCGACCTCCGCTGCCACCAGAGCTGGAGGCGCCGCTGACGCCTCTTGTGGCTGGGTAAACTCATCAAACGCCTGCTGCAAGGTATCAGGCAGTTGGTTGCGCCTCTTGTCTAGCGCTGCCTTCTTCCTCAAGGATGTCTTGCTGTTGGGGTTCGCCTGCCTCTGCGGCCTGGGGGGGCAGGGCGTATCAGCAGGGAGGGCCAGGGCACGAAAGTGCCAGGGCTGAGACTCGCCCGCGCATACCTCCAGGCCACAGTGTGTTCCCCATGGTACGTCGTGCACCTGGCGGATGACCACCGATCTCTCCCAGCCACGCTTCACCACCGCACAGTCAATGGTGGGGCCTGAGCCTTTATCACACGTTGCAGAGCCAGGGGCAACAAGAATAGAGCCACCCCACTCCTCAGGGTAGCCGCTGTCAGCTAATTGACACGGCGTCATATTCCAATCTGCTAAAACAATCCAAGGGTCCGCCAACATGTCCAAGAAAGCGGTGAGTGCGACTATGCGCTCATGGACGGGTCCCGTGATGGATGGGTGCGGTTCAATGTAGAAGGCTATCACGACAAGGTTGCCTGTCTTGTGGTGCCACGTCATCGGGGCGAAGCCATGACACGGATCAACTGCATACAGCTGGCGGCTCTGTTGTCTCATAGCGTCGAAGGTGGATGCAGCCACCGACTTCCGAGCTAAGACCATCTCTCCGCCCGACGTGCCTTCTGCCGATCGACCCGTCGGCACTGCATAACATTTCGAGGATATCCAATCATCTTTGTCAAGCTTAAGAAACTCCTGCTGCTGTTTGGCCGGTGAGATATGCGTCTCAACCATGGCCAGTACCTGATATCGCTTGCCAGTAGACGCCACCCATCTCTCAGCCTGAGGGCCCCACTCAGTGATGTTCGCGAAGAACAGTTGGGCCTCTTCCAATACGGGCTGAGCAGCGGCGGGACAGGCGTCACTACCCCCGCTCTGGATGAGTAGGAGCGCCAGAGCCAGCAGCCAGGCCAATGGCCTTGGTCTTGGAGGTCTCGGCAGCCTGGCGAAGCGAGTCTTCGGACATCGTCTTGAGCCGTTCGCCGTCCAGCGGAGGCTGAGGGGGCGCGGGCGTTGAGGCGGCTGCGGCCCCAGGGGCCGCTGGCATGGCGGGTGGGCCGCCTGCTCCGCCGCCTCGGGCTGTGTCGACCGACGACGCCTCGCCTCCTCCCTCCTGGCTCCTCCGCTTGGCGACGCGCTCCTGGTCGAAGCGCTTGATGGACTCCATGAGTTCCTGGAGCTTCTGAACCGCCGACTCCAGCTGCGGCCTGGCGGCGTCGAACTCCTTCTTGTACTCCATGAATGTCTTGCGCTCGCTCTCGTCCATGTCCGCGGGGTCCGCGGTTTCGAATATGTCGTAGTCGATGATGACCTTGTTGCGCTGAGGTGCTTCACGTGCCTGTTCCGACTGCAGCGTGGAGAGCGCCTTCTGGTAGGCGAGCTCCGCCAACGCCTGCTCTTCCACCTTGGACGCGTGCACCTCCGAGGCCGACTCCAGGTCTGCGCGGGCCCGTGGCACGCCCATCGCCGCCTTCTGAGTGGCCTGCTCCGTCTTGCGTAGCTCCTGCTTGGCCTTCTGAGCCGCCTCCCACGCGTCCGTGGGCGGCGGCGTCTTCTTCGCCTGGCGCAGCTCCGTCTGAATCGCAGCTGCCACTGCAGGGGGAAGATCAGCCTTGAGGAGGTCGCGCAACTTCCTCTCGTTGGTGTTGGGAGATTCGTTCTTGTGCCTGGCCACGGAGTTCCACGGCGCCCACAGCTGAACCTTATGTCCACACTGGCAGACGCAGTCCTGCGCGATGAGCTTGGTGTTCCAGATCCAATTCTGGCAGCCCTCGCATCGACTCCAGGCGCGGCCATACTTCTTGCCTCCCATGAATGCTGCAGCAAACTCAGTGAGGGAGCCCAACTCCTCGGTGGAGGCAAGAGAAACTGTCGGACGCAAGCGTCCTGGCACTGCCGCGGAATAGCGGTATCCGTGAAAGCGAATGCGGGCTCCGCCCGCCAAAGCATCAGCCTTGAGCCTTGAGCCAAAATGGCTACGGAGGAGGAGGAGGAGGAGGAGGAGGCAGGAGGCAGGAGGAGGCGGGAGAAGGCGGAGGCAGGAGAAGGCGGAGGGCTACGGGATGGCCCTGGAGCGCCGCAGCGGGGGGGGGCTTCGCGGGCGGAGGAGCATGGAGGGCCGCCGTCGCCCAGCTCACCGCCGCCACAGACCGTGCGTCGAATCTGCGCAGAGGCAGGGGAGCGCGCGGTGCGGCGCCTGCTCAACGAGGGCAGGGGGCGGAGGAGGAGGAGGAGGAGGAGGAGGAGGAGGAGGAGGAGGAGGGGGAGGGGAGGAGGAGGGAGGGGGAGGAGGAGGAGGAGGGGAGGGGAGGAGACGAGGAGGAGGAAGAGGAGGAGGAGAGAGAGAAGAGGAGAAGAGAAGAGAAGGACGACGGGAGGAGAGGGAAGGAGAGAGGAGGCCCTCCTCCTCATCCCCTCCTCCTCCTCATCCTCATCCTCACCCTCTTCCTCCTCATCCTACTCGTCCTCCTCCTCCTCATCCTCCTCCTCCTCCTCCTCCTCCTCATCCTCATTATCATCATCCTCCTCCTCCCCCTCCTCCCCCTCATCATCATAATAATCCAGATCAGCATCAGCATCATCATCATCATCACCACACCACCACCACCACCACCACCACCCACCATCATCATCATCAGCATCATCATCATCATCATCTCACATCATCATCATCATCAGCATCATCATCATCAGCATCATCATCATCATCATCATCATCATCATCATCATCATCATCATCATCATCATCATCAGCAGCAGCAGCAGCAGCATCATCATCATCATCATCATCAATCATCATCATCATCATCATCATCATCATCATCATCATCATCATCACATCATCATCATCATCATCATCATCATCATCATCAGCATCATCATCATCATCATCCTCATCATCATCATCATCATCATCCTCATCATCATCATCATCATCATATCATCATCATCATCATCATCATCATCATCATCATCATCATCATCATCATCATCATCATCATCCTCATCCTCATCCTCATCCTCCTCCTCCCCCTCCCCCTCATCATCATAATAATCCAGATCAGCATCAGCATCAGCATCAGCATCATCATCATCAGCATCAGCATCAGCATCAGCATCATCATCATCATCATCATCATCATCATCATCATCATCATCATCATTGTCATCATCATCAACATCAACATTCACATCAACATCGTCATCAGCATCATCGGCATCATTGTCATCATCATTAGCATCATCATCATCAGCAGCATCATCATCATCCTCATCAGCATCATCATCTTCAGCATCAGCATCAGCGTCAGCAGCATCATCATCATCGTCATCATCATCATCAGCATCAGCATCAGCATCATCACCAACAGCATCATCATGATCATCAGCATCAGAATCATCATCATCACCACCATCATCATCAGAATCATCATCACCGTCACCGGCATTGTCATCATCAGCATCATCCTAATAGTTGGCGTCATCAGCATCGTCACAATCAGCATCATCATGGTCATAAACATCATCATCATCATCATCAGCAGCATCATCATCATCATCAGCAGCATCATAAGCATCATAAGTATCACCGCCACCACCAGAATCATCATCATAATTGTCATCGCCGTTGTCAACATCACCAGCCTCGCTCGCCATCAGCCGTAGCAGCATCATCATCATGATCAACATCGTCAGCATCATCGTCGTCATCGCTATCGTCATCGGCACCATCACCATCACCATCATCATCACCACCCTCGGCATCATCATCATCATCATCCTCATCATCATCATCATCATCATCGACATCATCATCATCATCATCATCATCATCATCATCATCATCATCATCAGCAGCATCATCAGCATCATCATCATCATCGTCATCATCATCATCATCATCATCATCATTAGCATCATCATCATCATCGCTATCGGCATCATCAGCATCATCATGATAATCATCGTCATTATCAGAATCACCATCATCATCATCATCATCATCATTGGTTCCATCGTCATCACAAAAAATGTAAACATCGCAATCAACATCAGCATCAACAGCATGATCATCATCATCAGCATCATCATGATCCGCATCACCACGATGATAATCATCATCAGCATCATCGGATTCGTCATCAGCATCAGCATCAGCAGCATCACCATCGTCGTTGTCATCATCAGCAGCATCATCATCAGAATTGCCATCAGCATCATCAGCGTCGTCGTCGTCATCAGCATCAGCATCATCGTCTTCGTCATTATCACCCATCATCCTTATCAGCATTAGCATCATCCGTCATCGGCATCGTCATCCTCAGCAGAAGCATCATCATCATGATCAGCATCATCAGCATCTTCGTCGTCATCATCAGCGTCATCGTCATCATCATCGTCATCGGCATCATCGTCACTAGCATCATCATCATCATCATCATCATCATCATCATCATCATCATCATCATCATCATCATCCTCATTGTCGTCGTCATCATCATGATCATCACATCGTCATCATCGCTTCATCGTTGTCATCCCTGTTGTCATCATCATCAGCATCATCATCGTCACAAACATCGTCATCAGCATCATAAGCATCATCAGCACTTTCAGCACCGTCGTCGTCATCGTCAGCATCATCATCATCATCATCAGCAGCATCACCGGCATTGTCATCATTTTGATCATCATCATAAGCATCATCAATGCCATCTTCAGCATCACCGCCATGATCATGACCGGGATCATCCTCATCAGCAACATCATCATCAGCATCACCATCACCATCATCATCATCATCATCATTGTCATAACCATCATTGACATCGCAATCGTAATCAGTACGAGCATCATCATCATCAGCAGCATCAGCATCATCGTCATCGTCATCATCATCAGCAATGTCGTCGTCATCGTCTTCATCATCAGCACCACCACCGCCACAATCAACATCAGCATCATTATCAGCATCATCATCATCATCATCCTCATCAGCATCATCATCCCCATCATCAGCATCATCATCAGCAGCATCATCAGAATCATCAACAGCATCATCAGCATAATCTGCATCATCATCACCATCGTCAGCATCATCAGCGTCAGCATCCTCATCCGCATCAGCATCCGCATCATCGTCATAAGCATCATGGTCGTTATCATGACACATAGTTTCCTCACCATCTGCATCAGCATCGTCATCATCATCAGCATCATCAGTATCACCATCACATCTGGGCATCATCGTCAGCATCATCATCAGCATCATCAGCCTCACAAACATCATTATCCTCATCGTCATCATCATCATCAGCATCGTCATCATCATGATCAAAATCATCGTGATCGGCATCATCATCAGCAGCAACGTTATCATCATCAGCAGCATCAGCGTCATCGCCATCGTCATCTTTATCGTTACCATTATCAACAGCATCATCATCAGCATCGTCATCATTACCAAATCGTCAGCATCAGCTTTGTCGACACCTTCGCCATCATCAGCACCATCATCATCATCATCAGCAGCATCATCATCAGCAACGTCATCAGCGTCAGCATCAGCATCATCGTCAATAGCAGCATCAGCAGTGTCAGTATCGTCATTATCAGCATCAGCATAATCGTCAGCATCAGCAGCAGCATTGTCAGCATAATCATCATCAGCAGCATAGTCAGAATCAGCATCATCATAAGCATCAGCAGTGCCATAATCAGCATCACCATCATCATGATGATCGGCATCATCAGCATCACCATCACCATCATCATCATCACCATCATCCTCATCATATTCCTCCTCTCCTCCTCCTCCTCCTCCTCCTCCTCCTCCCCCTCCCCCTCACCATCATAACAATACATATCAGCATCATCGTCATCATCATCATCTCAAGCGCCATGAGCATCATCATCATCATCATCATCACCACCATCATCATCATCATCATCAGCATCATCATCGTCACCAACGTTATCATGATCAGCAGCAGCAGCATCATCATCAAATCATCATTATCAGCCATCCCGTTTTTCCAACTGAATTTCTAGAACCACGCGCGTTTCGCGCGCGTTTCGGCTCCAGTCTCCTCAGTGCTCTGTTGGGGCTGTCCACGCAACTGTGGGAAACCTCGCTCCTTCGAAAAATCGCGACAGAGTCGAGGGGGCGTCACGCGATCAATCTCTCCAGGTCGGCACTGGGTTTGTCCCAACCTTCCCGTTTTGTCTCAGCAGCGCCGCGCGTCCACTCCTCCTTCGTCGTTTCCTCCTCCTCCTCCTCTTTTCTTCCCGCTCCCCATCCCTCTCCTCCATTAATTCGGCACACCCCTCGCACGGATCTCGCCGCACAAGGAAACCTGTCTCATGCACCAATGAGGGCGCCCGCATACGCAACCTTGCGTGTCTCGGCACACCCCGCACACGGATCGTGCCCGCATGCGTCCCCATGCGCATATCGGCAAACCTCCCACACGGGTCGTGCCCCACAAGGAGCTGCGCGCCCGCATGCGTTCACAAACAGAGTGCGGCATACCCCTCAAACGGATCTTGCCCCGTAAGGAGCTTCCCTGCGGCAACAGTGAGGGCGCCCGCATGCGCACACTTGTGCGTTGCGGCGAACCCCTCACACGTATCGTGCCCCACACGGGGACACACCTACGACACCAGTGAGGGCGCCTGCATGCGTCCCCGCGCGCATTTTGGCACGCTCCTCACAGGGATCATGCCCCACACTGAGCTAACATATAGCATCTGTCAGCGTTCGTCACGCCGTCTGATCGTCCTGAGAAGCCGAGCTTTACTCTCGCATAAGCCCCTCCGTCCTGCGAGCCATACCCCTGGCCCAGACCGAAGGGAAAAAAGCCTCCTGATGGCCGCGCCTGGCCGCCTTCGCGGGCGGGCGCGTGCAAAGCGACGACGCTGTTGTGCCCCCTCTCCCACTTCCGCACACCCCTCACGGGCTCCCGCAGCACGTTCGCACGCGCCCCCTCTCGTAGTTCAGCACACCCGTCACAGGCTCTAGGGTGCTTATCTGCGCGAACACAGGGTCTCTCAGCGAAAGCGGTGCGTGACGTGTGCCAGTGTCGGTTGAGGCGGAGCCTCGCTTGTCGTTGTGCCATCCAAAAACTCTTTCGGGTTACATCCTTACCGTAACGCGTCGACACAGCGGATCCGTTTGAAAAAATACGGACACCAAGGGAATCACAAAAGGACCCTGAAAGACAGTCCTCAACCTTATCATCTTTGTGTCTGCACCTCCCGCCGCGCTTTCTCTTTCCTCCTCCTCCTCGCGTTACTCGCCTGCTCCGCATCCTCATCCTTATTTCCCCCCTCTCCGGCGGGAGATCAGGGAACAAGGCTATATGTATATGTATATAGCGCAGCGAACCGGCTAGAAACCGGAATCGAACACCTGAGCGTCAGCGTGGCCCACGCCTGCCACGCATGCTAGCGATCCGACCAACAAGAACATGGCAAGATGCAAATGCACGCTTCACAAATGCATCTCAATCACAAGCGGTGGGCTTTCCCTGGGGTGAGGGGAATCCTGGACGTGAGGAGGCGCAGGAACATCAGAGGGAGAGATGAATCGGTTCAACTTGGCGAATTGCGGGCCAAATTGCCAATAAGAATAATAATACTGAGAATAATAACAATAATAATAATGAAAAAATAAGCAAGCAGAAGAAAAAAAGAATAGGTCGGCGCTGGTGCAAGAGCCGTCTTGGCGCGCCTTGGGGTTCCGCAGGGGCTCTACGGGGCCGTGCTGGCACTGTCCGGGGCGGCCTTGAGGCTCCCTCTTCGGCCACGTAGGGGCCTTCTGGAGGCTCGCTCGGGCCGCCTCGGGGCCGTGACCCCGGACCCTCGAGCCTGAAACCTGGAACCCCGATCCCGACCAAAATTCGCTCAAGCCTGATCCCCAGACGTGCCCCCGGATGCCGATAATGAAAACGTCGTCCGTCGTCGTATTCGTCGTCGTCGTCGTCGTTCGTCGGCGTCGTCGGCGTCGTCGTCGTCGTCTTCGTCGTGGTAGTCGTCGTCGCCGCCGAGGGCGTATTTGTCCTGAGTGTTTCAGATTCGCAGCCCCTGGGGGCCAGGGGCCGCAGGCAACGGGACACACTGGGACTGCCCAATTAAAGCCTCATTGTGGATTCCTCGGCCACTGGGCGGAACTCTTGCGGCCAGTTGTACGTTGCGCACCGCCCTAATGAAAACAGCAGCCGCCATGTCGCCTCGGGCATGCGACGATTGGCCAACGAGGCTGAAAGCCCGTCGCCACAAAAGCGACAGACAACAATCTGACGACCCCAGGGGCGCGTGGGAGATCCTTCCTAGCCAGGCACTGTGTCACCCTGCCACCTCTCGTTCGGAATGACCCTCGTCCTCCGCCTGGCTCCAGCATCCTCACCTTCTTAGACCTCTGGTCTTGGAACCCCCTTCCACACGACTATCGCCCAACCCCGAGAAAGACACACGCACACACACACACACACACACACACACACACACACACACACACACACACCGCTCTCGCCTCCGCCCACCCCCTCCCAAGCAGGCCCCGACCCCACTCGACACTTCCTGACCCGCACTCGACCCGCCCCCCTACCTGGCCCCCACCTGGCCGCCGCCTGGCCGCGACCCAACCCCCGCCGCGCGCGGGCATCCCCACCTCTCTGGACTCTCTGGACTCCTCTCCCCGAGACCCCCACCCGACGCTTCTCGCTCACGCTTGCCCGCGCCTCCCACCTGCCCCCCCCCCTGGCCACCACCTGGCCCGCACCTGGCCCCCATCACGCCCAGGCGTCCCTGCCCCTCGAAACTTCTGCCTGGCAGGAGCAGGCACGGTGGAGTCCCCGCGGCCGCAGGCACGCGGGGCGTCGGCCGAGCCACGGGAGGGGCGGCGCCCCGGAGGCGCCCTGCGGCTCGAGACGGGGGGGCGCCGCGAGGGGGAGGGCGCGCGGGGCGCGGCGGCCGCACTCGGAGCGCACGAGGATCGAGCACGCTGGCGTGGACTGCGGACCCGCGGATCTGCGCCAGATCCGCGGCAGGGCTGCCCGAGGCCGCCGCTGCGCGCACGGAGATCGGCAGCACGGGCGGGCCCGCCCCTCGGGGCGTGCCCGCCCCGCGCGCCCCAGGCCCCCGTTTTCGGGCACGAGCAGCGGATCCGCGGATCTGGCGCGTGGGGCGCCAGACGTGCGGATCGGGTGCCGCTCGAGGTGCCCAGTCGGGCTCCGTGGGACCTGGCCAGTGATGCGTACCAGTTGGGGGCAATGTTCGCACTGGGGGCGGTGGTCGTGCACGTCGCCGCGTCCTGCGACGGCCAGCCGGCGGCCGAAGGCGCCTGGCCGCGCGGGCAGAGCCGCCCATAAGGTCGGGGGCTGCTAAAGGTGCCCCTGGCCCCAGGCGCCCCCAGGTTTTCGCTCCGTCTTGGAGCCCCTGGGGCCCTGGGGGCCCTCGTGAGGGGGTGCTGTGGAGGCCGCAGGGGCCTCTTTGGAACTCCTGGGGGCACCTTGGGCCAGGGGTACTTCAAGCAACACCCTACCGGACCGAGGAAAATGCCCACCGAAGCGTGAGGCCAGCACCGCCTGATGTGGCGACGGAGAGAGCCGATGTTGCATGGACACAAGATCCGTCGCTGATCCACGCGCCTTGATCCATTTTTGCGCTTCCTCGAGAGAGTCGGAAATGGAGGTTTCCCCTTCCCGCTCCCCACTCTCATCCCCGCGTGGTAATGCTCCGCCATTGTTTTTCGTGGGCCTCCCTCAGGCTCGTCCGAAACACTTCGAGCGAACAGTCTCAAGTATATACATAGGGCGCCGTGGTGAAGATGCCAGGTTCAAGGCAGCGGTGTCCACATGTCGCTACGCAACGTTGCCAGATTTAGAGCATATGCTTGTAGCGCATGACATTGGTCTGAAAAGGGGTTTGCAGCGGCAGCGAGAGGATGAGGAGCTTGCCACAAAGAAGCACAGCTAGAAAGTCGGGGCATCACGGGAGAGGGGGGGCCTGAAGTTGGTAGCGTCCATCTGCACGTTGATGTGCATGATGTGGGTCAACTGGGCAGTGAGGAAGAAAAAATGCATGTCAAAAAGTTGTCGGAGGTGCGCGCGGATGTCTTAGGTCGGCGTTGGACCCCACCCTCCTGGCGCGCTCTGCCGCCAGAGGCGCTGCCAGGGATATCCAGCGCCGATCCAACAAATCCGCGCGGACTCCATAAAGTTTGCGTGTGCCGCCACATCCCAAACAGCTGCCGCCACACGATTCCAACCGCGCTCGAATATGGATGTCACCACACAGTCCCTCCTGAGGGAGGATCACCAGCTCCTGTCGTGAATATCTCGAGAAAATTGGAGGGAAGGGGGAGAGGGGGGGGAGGGAAGGAAGGGAGGGGAGGGGGGAGGGAGGTGAAGGGCAAAAATGAAGGGCGGACCGGCTCATGCGGGGGGAAGGGGGGGGGGGGAACATCGACCAAAAATCGACAATCCATCGCCCGTACATCGGCGACAGGCCCCCCCGACAGCGAATCCGGGTGGAGCTGAAGGCCCCCTGTCGGCGACCAGCGGGCGATCGTGGGTCGACGCGCTCCCCCCGCACATGGAGCAGGGTGCGGGAGAGGCGAGGATGACGGCCTCAGAGCCCTCGCCTGCCTCTTCCCCTTCTGAGAAGGAGGAGGAGGAGGAGGACGGGAACTCTCGGATGGCGCGTCGCGGCGGCGGCCCCAGCGACACGCTGCGCCGTGCGAGCGGACAGCGTGCGGAGCGGGAGGCTCGCACACGCTCGGGGCGTTGGCGCTCTGGGGACCGGGAAGCGGACAGCGCGGCGCGCCGCAGAGCGGAGCGCCACGCCATCCAGAAGCTCCCGACAGTTCGGGGGGAGGGGCTGGCTCAGGGGCGAGACACAGTTGAAGGGGCCTAGGGACACACGAAGAAATAGCATCCTCCTCCTCCTCTCCTTCTTTTTCTTCTTCGTATTATGCTTAAGATTCCTTTGAATGACTAGTAAGTGTACTCTTCTTATTTGTTGGAGTACTATTACTATGTGTACGACTATTCTTATCATTAGTATTGTTATGATTATTCTGATTAGTAGAAAGATTCTCCTCATTATTACTTTATCACTAGTCGGAGTGAGGGGGCCGCACGGTCATTCGCTTTCCCTTGGTGCTTGGCTGAAGTGGTGATCCACGGCGAGGATTATACTTGTTGTTGCGTCGCCCCCCCCGCGACCAAGCCCGCGACCCACCCGCGACCCACCGTCCACCCTCCAGCGACCCACCTGCGACCCAACCCGCGACCCACCCTAATTGTTTTAACAAAAAACCTGCGCCTGCGGCGGCCTCGTTGTATGGCTTGAAAAATTATGCGCCTGCGGCGGGCTTCATCAGAGCCTCGCAGAATGCCCCGACGTCCCCGCCGCCCCCTCACTCTTATCCGCAACTGCGGGGTGCTACATATGTTTATTATCAGTTTCTCCTGCCCTCCTCCTCCTCCTCCTCCTCCTCCTCGTCCTCGTCCTCGTCCTCGTCCTCGTCCTCGCTCCTCCTCCCCCCTCCCGCGCCATGTCCCGAGCCTGCGGCAAGGCCCTCAGTTCGTCGTCATCGCCGTCGTCGTCGTCCTAGAGGGTCGGCGGCACCAGCCGCAAGGCCTTCACAATAGACACAAATCCCAGGACTCCCCATACGTTCCATGCTTCCCGGATGTTCACCTCCCCCTCCACTTCCATGCTTCCAACATCTTCCTGGGAACCGACGATCATTTGTGTCTGTGGGATGTGTCCCTCGTGAAACAGAAACCGATCTCAAACATGCAACAGGAATCTGGCGATCCGTTTGACATGAAGTTTCTCTGAAACTGGAGAAGTTCATGTCTCGTTCGCTCGCAGATTACGACATCCCTGGCTGCTAAAGTATGGACTTGTAATCGGCGCTGCGTTTATGTCGGGCGTGTCCCCCTACAGGGGGATTTTCGGCGAAAAATCAAAAATACCCCAAAAATACCCCAAAAAGGTAAAAACATATTCAAAAAATAGTCCCCAGACTATTTTTGGACTTTTTCTGGGGTATGTTTAATTTTTGTCGAAATTCCCCCTGTAGGGGGACAGGCCCGACTTAACGCTACGGCGACGACTCCTCGGCAGTGTGCCCTCGACAGCGACGGACGGCGCACGCTCCCCGGGCGGGTCGGGGTGCCTAGGCCACGAGCTCCGTGCTCGGTCTCTCCCATCCCACAGGTGGTGCTCGCCCGATGCAGCGTGAGCCTCGCTTTCGGATCGGCCGTGTGCTCGCGTCTATCGGGGCGGCGCCCTCGCCCCCTCGCGGGCCGCTTCCCTGGGTCCGAGCCCTCTTTGCTGTCGCTGTCGCCCCCCTCATCGCCCCTCCTCCGCCTTCCCCTGGTCCTCCTGCTCCTCCCACTCCCTCCACTCCAGTTCCTGCTGCTGCTGCTGCTCGTCCTCGTTCTCCTTCCTCATCCTTGTCCTGTTCCTCCTGCTTCTCCTCCTGCTCACCCGCCGTCACCTCCTCCTCCTCCTCGTCCGCCTCCTCCTCCTCCTCCTACTCCTCCTCCTCCTGTGTACACAGCTCCCCTTTTCCGGTTGCGCATAACACGATGGAGTATGCTTGGGAGTTCCAAGTCGGCAACGACACGCGTCCGCGGATAGATAACATCAGCGCAGTGGGAAGGGATTGGAGGGAGGGATAGGATATCAGACATGGCGCGACCGCGTCTAGCTTGACCATTCTCCTCTCTCCCCTCTACCTCCCCTCCCTTCCTCCCTTCCCCTCCCCTTCCCTCCCCGCCCCTCCCTCTCTCCCCTCCCTCCCTCCCTCTCCCCTCTCTCCCCTCTCCCTCCCTCCCCTCCCCTACCCTACCTGGAAGCGCGCCGTGGACGGCGCCGATCCAAGAGATCCGGGCGGACCTCCGAAAATATATTTACGGAACAAGCGCGTTCCACGACTCGAAAAGCAACTGCTCGCAAATGGCTTGGATCCGCAGCGGGGGAGTTACGACCCCTTGCATCGAAGCGAGCATGTGCTTCCCAGACGTTTGCGAGCAGGCATCTTGCGAGTAGTGGAACGCGCTCGGTGACTTAAGCCGTTGCTTGCATCTTCTCCTCGACGCGCCAACCAAAAAAACACAAACATAAACCTTCGTCGGTGGATCGCGCCACATCGCCGACGCATCGGCCACACTAGCGTGGAGAAAGTCGGGCTCCACATCGAGTTGCGTCCCCGATGCATCGGCGATGCGGCGCGTTCCACCAATCCCACTGCACTCGGACCCCATCACCACTACCATAAGTAAGAGAGGGAGGAGGAGGAGGAGGAGGAGGAGGAGGAGGAGAAGGGGAGGGAGGAGTGACGGGCATCAAGGAGGAGGAGGAGGAGGAAGAGAGGGAAGAGGAGGAGGAGGAGGAGGAGGACCTCCCGGTCCTCCCTTCTCCCCCGTTCTGCCTGTGGTAGCGGTGGTGGAAAATTGATTCTTTCATCGGGCAGGCCTCCCCCTGCCCCCCAGGTGGCCGAGTCGAGCTGGCACAGCGCCCCGCCCTCGTCGAAGACCGCGCACGGCTCCGAGCCGCTGCCCCCGGCCTCTGCCGGCGCGGCCGAGGGAAAGCGCGCGAGGATGGGCCCCTCGCCTCAGAGGGGAGGGCGCGCGGGAGGCACAGGCAGTAGACCCAGAGCTCCTCCTCCTCCTCCCCTCCTCCTCCTCCTCCTCCAGAATTCTGACCATCCAGCGCGAGAATTTGCTTTCCTCGGACCGAGAAAGAGGTGGTCGCCGCGAGCCGCAGCGAACTCGTGGGAGGGCCACCTCCCTGTCTGAGCGTATTTGCAAATTGCGAAACGCAGGTCATGACCCTGACGTCCTGAAGGCCTGCATCATGTGCAGGCGGTGTGGTTTAGGCTACAGTCTCAGAGGACAGCTCTCGGACTTTTGGCCCATGTCTTGCAAGCCCAGATGCATCATCCAGCAGCGCGTTCAGCTGCTGGGACCGCAGGAAGTGAGGGGTGACCTGGGTCCCGACCCTGTCCCCGATACCTTGGGGCCGTCGGATCTGTGCGGGGGCGCCCTGGACCATCCCCTCGCTGACCGCTGTCACCCCTCCCACCGACTGTCGGTCCTGAGTGGTCTTCTTTTCTGCACTGTGTGTGGAGGACACTGTTCTGTCGCACCTCCACGCATCCTGAAAGGAGAGTGCGGTGAAGCCTCGAGGACGGGGCGAGAGGTGCTGTCACGCCTTCAGAGGGGATTGCCACCAAAGTCTGGCAATTCGTTCCCTTGCTGAATGAGCGGCCTGCCCAGAGCAGGACCCCCGCCTTAGATAGAATTAGAATTAGAATTACTCCTCCTCCTCTTCCTCCTCCTCCTTCTCCTCCACGGCCTCCTCGTGCTCCTGGTTCTCGTTCAACTCCCTTCTGATCCTCCTCCTCCTCCTCCTCCTCCTCCCCTCCTCTCCTCCTCCTCCTCCTCCTCCTCCCCTTCTCCTCCCCTCCTCCCTCCTCCTCGTCCTCCTCCTCCCTCCTTCCTCCCTCCTCCTCCTCCTCCTCCTCCTCCTCCTCCTATCCTCCCCTCCTCCTCCTCCTCCTCCTCCTCCTGCTCCTCCTCCTCCTCCTCCTCCTCCCAGATCGGACGAGGGGGACGGGGGTAGAAACGCGGGTTCGCGATTCAGCTCATCTGGCTGATCATTCGGGCGCCTTCCGCCACCGTCCTCTTGCTCGTTCTCTTTGTTCTTGTCCTCCTCGTCCTCATGCTCGTCCTCCTCCCCCGTTTCTGTTCCGCACAAACGGTGAATCCCTGCCGCACCGCCACTCGTCCGCAGGCCAGACCGGGTGTCTCGCCTGGCTCTTCCTCACAGCGTACTGCCCCGAAGCTCATGGCGTTCTCTCCTTGACGCTGCACACATTCGCCTTGAAATATTGCAACAAATACAAGGACGACTGCTGTCCCGTTTTCAAAGAGAGCTCTTGACTTCACGCTGGGCGCATTCGTCTTACCAGATGGCAGCAGTTACAAGGATGGCGGGTGGCTCCTTTTCAAAATGGGATACTCGCCTGCACACATTCGTCCGAAAATATTGCAGCAGCTTTCAAACATGAAAGGGTGTTCCCCTAACGCGTGACGGGTGTGCCGAAATGGGTCGGGTAACTATGCAAACCCTGCCACTGAGGCCTTCGGCGAAGGTTCCTATGAGGGCACGAACCATTTCCACTGAGGGAAGTGCCCCGTTGGGAGACAACTGCTTGAAGATCCTGAAGCGTGCCAACACACCACTCTCAGAACTTCAACGCCACGAATCAACCTGATTGTTGCGTCTTGACGATCCTGAATCGTGCCAGAACACCATTCTTGGGACTGCAACACCGCGAATCAACGTAACTGTTGCACCCTGACAATCCTGATTCGCTCCAAAACACCTTTTCTGGTTCGTGAACCATGGGAACCCGTGAAACTCTTGCAACTTCAAAAAACGAATGTGCGCAGCGCTACAGCGAGAGCCACACGTTGAAAAGAAACCACCCTCGATCCGCAAACTCTTGCAATGTTTGAAAACGAAGGTGCGCGGCGCTGAAGCGAGAACGACATGTTGAAAACCGCCCGCCCTGAACGCGTGAAACTCTTCCGCATGTTTAAAACGAATGTGTTCGGCGCTAAGGCGATACCACATTGTGGAAGCGACCCGCCCTCCATCTATGAACTGTCGCCAATGCTTAAGCTTCGGGATTATTATAAACGATAAAGAAGACCCAAGCGAAACGCCTGGCCCGCCCTTCCGACTGGCCTCGGGGTGCGACAGGGAGCAATGAGTTAAAGGAAAAGACATGAAGGAGGAGGGAGGAAGAGACGCAGGGCGCTGTGGGATCAAAATGAAGAATCAACACACATGAGGGTTGGGACATCTCATGGCGAAGGATCCAACCATATGCAGCGTGGAAGTACCGCAAGGCATGTGGAACGAAGGAGGGGGAGCTTCCTGTGAGGCCACGAAGCGTGTGAGGGGTGTGCCGAAATGGGCGGGGGGACGCATGCGAACCCTGCCAACCACAAGAGCCTTCGGTGGAGCTCACTGTGGGGCCACAGAACGTGTGAGGGGTGTGAATGACCCAACCCTTTATGAACACGTGGCGACTATAAGCAGGACCATTCAATATACAAGAACAAGCAGAGGGATCGTTTCACCGAAGAACGTCAGACCGCACTCCACGCTCGCCATTCACGCACGCACTCTCGCGGCAGAAATCGCAGACGGGGAGGATCACGAAGAGTGTGAGGGGTGTGCCGAAATGAGCGGGGCAGCCACTGGAACGTTCGGAAGAGCTCCCGATGCGGTCACGAAACGAGTGAGTGGTCTGCAGAGATGGGGCGAGTCACTATGCGAACCCAGCCAGTGCGGCCTTTGGTGGGGCTCCCTGTGAGGCCACGAAGCGTGTGAGGGGTGTGCAAAACTGGGGCGGGTCACCATGTGAACCAGCCACTGGGCTATTCGGTGGAGCTCCAACGAAACGTGTCAAGGGTGTGCCGAAATGGGGCGGCAAACCATGTAAACACAGCCACTGGAGCCGTCGGTGGGGCTCTCTCTGGGGCCAGGAGAATGAGGAGGAGGATCTGGTAAGGCTGCTTGGGGCCTCCGAGCAATTGTCCATGGCCTCGGCGCTGGACTCGCTCGTGTCGGAGCCGCTGACGTTGCTGAATGCTGCGAACTGGCAGTCCTTGCAGGAGTCTCTCCACTGCCCTCTCTCTGTCTCTCTCTCTCTCTCTCTTTCTCTCCCTACCCCTCTCTCTCTCAAATTGCCCTTGCAGTTGAATGTATGATCCGCCATCGCTCCCCCTAGCACGCTGCAGCGTGGTATGATGCCGCATTATGTTCGGAGGAGTTGTTGCGATCTCCTGCGGCCGCCGTCTCCGTGCATGAGGAACGCCAGTTCGGGCCCGAGCGGGCTCTGCTGCCCGCGGCGAGCCACGGCCACGAGTGGGTTCCCCAACGTCGACACAATTTTTTGGTCTGCGGGTCGAGAGCGAGCCTCTTCTGGTTAAGAGCTAGGCGGGCCGCGCAAAGCACTAATTGGGGAGACCCTAACGTCGACACAAGGAACGGCACGAAAGCCAGACCCTCCTGAACTCGAAGCAATCCTGACTTCAGCGTCTTGACGGTACGGTTGGTTCGCGCGCGCCGGCGCGCACAGAGGTCTTTGACACCGCGTCGATCGCTCAACCTTGAATCGATCAAGGGCCCCGATCGCCCCAGCTTGAATTCCGTCGGGTCCAGTGGCGTCACCGTGCCCCTCTCGGTGCGTCCACGTCGCAAGAGCTCAACCTGGAACGCCTTCGCCGGCGTCGCTGGCGCGTCATCGCCGCATGTGCCCTACCGTGCGGGATCCCCGTCGCTCTTGAAGGGGCCCCAGGACACACAAATAAAGATGTGCCCCATATTTTCCCATATTTGGGGGGTTTTCGTCTTCCCCCCACTTCCCCTATTTTCCTATGTTTTCTGGGGAATCGACGATAAATTGTGTCTGTGTGTTTTTTCCCCCCTGAGCTCTGGAGTGCCATGTGCCAGGAGGGGAGAAAAGGAGCAGAAGAATGGGCCAGGGGAGAAGGAGCAGGAGGAGGGGAGAGAAGGAGCAGGAGAATGGGCCAAATGCGGCCCCTACGCGGTCCAAATGCAGGCAAAGCTGATCTCAGTGTCGCCGCCCAGGGCTCCCGTGAACAGACATCGTGTGCACCCCACCGTGCGGGAGCCCCGTCACTCTGGAGTGCCACGTCGGGAGCGGGGCGCAGGGCCACAGCGGAAGCGGCCAAGGGAGGGCCCAAGAGCGAGGGATGCCAGGGGCGACCCCTGGCAAGCCTCTCAGCCTTACCGTTAGGTCGGGCCTGTCCCCCTACAGGGGGATCTTCGACGAAAAATTTAAAATACCCCAAAAGTACTCCAACATGGTCAAAACATATGTCCATATTTTCCCATGTTTTCCTATATTTTTTGGGGGATCGACGATCAAGTGTGTCTGTGTGGTTTTTTCCCTCCTGAGCTCTGGAGTGCCATGGTCGGGAGCGGGGCGCAGGGCCACAGCGGAGGCGGCCAAGGGAGGGCCCAAGAGCGAGGGATGCAACGGGTGACCCCTGGAAAACCTCTCAGCCTTACCTTTGGAGTCCCGAAACGGTGCGGTGACAGACCGTGCGGTGACCTCGAAACCCCCCAAGACCTCACCGCACGGTCCGTCACCGCACGGTCTTGGGACCCTGGAGGCCCCAGTGGCCCGAGACGTCCTCGGAGAACGACCCGAGTCCCAAAACCGTGCGGTGTCCCTACAGGGGGATTTTGGATGAAAAATCATTATAACAAAAACAAAAAAAAAATGCTCCAAAAATGCAACGGGTGACCCCTGGAGAGCCTCCCAGCCTTACCATCTCGGGGGCGGCCAAGAGGGGGGCGTGTCCAAGAGGGGGGGGGGCAAATCATGGACGGCGGCACGTGCGCGGCCCAGGGGGGGGGGGGCCAGGGACGCAATGAAATAAGAAGAGGCGCCGTGAAGTCTGAGGAACTATCATGGCCCCCGGCATGATATCCACCCCCCTAGTCATCACCCCCCTCTTTGCCGCCCCCGATTACCATCGGTTTCGACTACACCCCCGGGGTGACCCCTGGAGAGCCTCTCAGCCTTACCATTAGGTCGGGCCTGTCACCCTAGAGGCGGTTTTTGGACAAAAAATATATCTAAAAAGGACCCCAAAAATGCTCCAAAAATGTTCAAAAATTGTCAAAAAAGTGTCCACTTTCTATGTTTCGACTATTTTTGAATATTCCTCCTGTGGAAGGACAGGCCCGACTTCACCTTACCATCGGTTTCGACTGCACCCCCGGGGAAGCGGTCCGGACCTCCCTGGAGGCCGCTGGCCAGGTCAGGGGCACGAGAGCCGCCGACGAAAGCCCGCCATGCCGACAGAAAAGCACTTGTCCAGCCTGTGTCGGGAGCGGCCAAGAGGGGGGCGCGTCCAAGAGGGGGGGTGCAAATCATGACCGGCGGCATGTGCGCGGCCCAGCGGGGGGGCCAGGGACGCAATGACATAAGAAGAGGGGCCATGAAATCTGGGGAAATATCATGGCCCCCGCCATGATATCCACCCCCCCCTAGTCATCACCCCCCTCTTTGCCGCCCCCGACTGTGGGGAGGCCCCCGAAAAAAGGTGCGGCAGCGGGTGTGACCAGGCGCCGAGAGGGGCGACTGGCCCCAGAAACCCGAAGCAGGGTGGCCCACAGCTCACAAATACACACACACACACAAAGGAGCCCAGGGACGCACAAATAAATACACACACCTCCCAGGATTCTCAATATTTGCACATGTTTTCTCGAGATTCGCCGTTCCCTCCATTTCCCTTGTTTTCCCACACTTTCCTGAGGATCGACGTTTATTTGTCTGTGTCTACCTTCATCCCCTGAACATAGACACACAAACACTGACGGACGGACGGACAAACAAACCAGCGGACTCCTGCTTCTCCTCATGACCATCCCTCCTGTGGGGGGGAAACCGGAAAGTACCGATACCGCTGCTCCCCAGACCTCCCCAGCGGTGCATTCTGTTCAGAATTTCAAAGCGAAAACAGCGGTGGCGACGAGGGCCTCCCAGGAGGCCCAAAAGGGGGGAAAGCGGGGCGAGGGTAGTGGTATCGGTCCCTGTTCTTCCTCGGATACTCGTTCATACTCCCTCTCCCAACTCTGCCGTGCACCGTGGCAGTCTCCAGCGACATTGCGAAGGACTTGGCCCCCGTCGTCAGGCTCGAGCAGTACTGCCGCCTCCCCTCTAGCACGGTGCGCCGGAGGAGGAGGAGGAGGAGGAGGAGGAGGAGAAGGAGGAGGAGCAGGAGCAGGAGGAGGAGGAGGGAGGAGGGCAGGGAGGAGGAGGAGGGAGGAGGGTGGGAGGAGGGAGGAGGGAGGAGGAGGAGGAGGAGGAGAGGAGGAGGGAGGGAGGGAGGAGGGAGGAGGAGGAGGAGGAGGAGGAGGCGGAGGAGGAGGAGGAGGAGGAGGAGGGGGGAGGAGGGAGGAAGGAGGAGGAAGGAGCAGGAGGAGGAGGAAGAGGAGGAGGAGCAGGAAGACCAGTGTAAACCCGAGAGTGATCGACGATGTTGGCATAAACCCTCCCTCCAAGCTCCCTCTTCGTAGACCCCTACAGGGGGTCATTTCCACTGAGGGAACTACCTCGCTGGAAAACAAACGTTTGAAGACCCGAAAACATGCCAAAACCTTGTTTTCGAGATTCCAACGCTACTGATCAACTTGACTGTTGTGTCTTGACGATCTTGAACCGTGCTAGAACGCCATTCCTGGAACTTCATCACCGCGAGCCAACGTAACTGATGCACCCTCATGATCCAGAATCTTTCCAAAACATAATTTCTGGTACGTTTGCCATGGGAATTTGTGAAAATCTCGCCAATGATGGTTGAAAAGAAAAACACGCGGTGCTCAGGCGAAAACCACATCTTGAAAAAGAACCGCTTTCAATCCGTGAAACTGTTGCAAATGTTTGAGACGAATGTGCGCGGCGCTAAAGCGAAAACCATATTTTCAAAACGTGTGGCCCTTCACCCGTGAAATCATTGCACATGTTTTAAAAGAACGGGCGCAAAGCTAAGACGAGAGCCACTGTTGAGAACGACCCAGCCTCCATCTGCGAAACGGTCACCAAATGTTGAGCTTCATGGTCATGAACGGTGGAGAACAAGCGGAACGCCAGGCCCGCCCTAAAAAATTGTGTCGGGGTGTGGCAGGGAAACGTCAATTATAAGGAGAAGGAATGGAGGAAGAGGAAGAAGAGGAGGAGGAGGAGGAGGAGGAGAGGAGGAGGAGGAGGAGGAGGAGGAGGAGGCCGCGGCAGGCCTCCCCACACGCGCCTCTTGAGGGAGCAGCCGCGCCTCGTCCTCGCCACGGCCACCGCGCGGCACCGCGGACGCAAGGTGGAGTCGAACATGCGGTACGCAATACCCCGCAGCTGCGGGCAGAGGTGACAGGAGGGCGGGTCGCCGGGCGGTGCGCGGGGCGGTTCGCGGGTGGATCGCGGGGCGGGTCGCGGGGCGGTTCGCGGGGCGGGTCGCGTAGCGGGTCGCCGAGCGGGTCGCAGAACGGGTCGCGGTGCGGGTCGCGGGGAGGGTCGCGGGGCGTGTCGCGGGGCGCGTCGCGGGTGGGTCGCGGGGCGGGTCGCGGGGCGGGTCGCGTGGCGGGTCGCGGTGCGGGTCGCGGTGCGGGTCGCGAAGCGAGTCACGGGGCGGGTCGCGGGGCGGGTCGCAGGACGGGTCGCGGGGCGGGTCGCGGGGCGGGTCGCGGGGCGGGTCGCAGGGCGGATCGCGGTGCGGGTCGCGAAGCGAGTCACGGGGCGGGTCGCGGGGCACGTCGCGGGGCGGGTCGAAGGACTGGTCGATGGGCGTGGCGCGGGGGGGGTCGCGGGGCGGTCGCGAGCGGGTCGGGGGGCGGGTCGCGGGGGGTCGGCGGGGCGGGTCGCAAAACGGGTCGCAGGGCGGGTCGCGGGCGGGTCGCGAGTGGGTCGCAAGGCTGGTCGCGGGGCTGGTCGCGGGGCGGCTCGCTGGGCAGGTCGCGGGGTGGGTCGCGGTGCGGGTCGCGGGGCGGGGCGCGGAGCGCAGTGCGGGTCGCAGGGCGGGTCGCTGGGCGGGTCGCGGGGCGGGTCGCGGAGCGTATCGCGGGGCGGGGCGCGGGGCGGGGCGCGGGGCGGGCTGGACGCGGAGCAGGTCGCAGGGCTGATCACGGGGCGGGTCGCGGTGAGTGTCGCGGGTGGGTCGCGGTGCGGGTCGCGGAGCGGGGCGCGGGGCGGGTCGCGGAGCGGGGCGCGGATCACGGGCGGGTCGCGGGGCGGGTCGCGGTGCTGGTCGCGGGGCGGGTCGGAGCGGATCGCGAGGCTGTTCGCAGGGCTGATCACGGGGCGGGTCGCAGAGGGTCGCGGGGTGGGTCGAGGGGCGGGTCGCGGGACGGGTCGCTGGGCGGGTCGGGTGCGGAAAGCGGTGCGGGCGCGGCGCGGGCGGGTCGCAGGACAGGTCGCGGGGTGGGTCGCGGGGCGGGTCGCGGTGCGGGTCACAGGGTTCAGTGCGGTCGCGGGGTCGGGCGGGTCGCGGGGACGGGTCGCGGGGCGGGTCGCGGAGCGGAGCGCGGGGTGGTCGCAGAGTGGGTCGCGGGGCGGGTCGCAGGCGGCTGCGGGTTGGGTCGCAGAGCTGGTCGCGGGCGGGTCGCGGGGCGGGTCGCGGGGCAAGTCACAGGGCGAGTCGCAGGGCGGGTCTGAGGGCGGGCGGGTCGCGGGGCGGGTCGCGGGGCGGGTCGCGGGGCGGGTCGCGGGGCGGGTCGCTGGGCGGGTCGCGGGGCGGGTCGCGGAGCGTATCGCGGAGCGGGTCGCGGTGCGGGTCGCGGGGCGGGGCGCGGGGCGGGGCGCGGGGCGGGGCGGGGCGCGGGGGGGGCGCGGGGCGAGTCGCGGGGCGGGTCCCGGGCGGGTCGCGGGGCGGGTCGCGGGTGTGTCGTAGGGCGGGTCGCGGGTGGGTCGCGGGGCGGGGTGCGGGTGGGACGACGACAAAAACAAACAAGCAGAATCCGCGCCGCGGAACTCCACTTCATATCCATGGAAAATAAATGACCATCTGGTCCCCTCCTCACTCTGAGAATATGTTGTAGCATATCGTTTCCCGAGCGGCATGGCCAGAGAGCGCCCGCAACAGAGGTTACAATATAAGATGTCCGAGCCCGCGCGCGTCGCCCTTGCGGGGCCGACGCACACATAGTATTAGTATGTTTGGGTGGTGCCGAGCGGAGGAATGCAAGATCCTGGGGCGTTCAAGTTGCGACCCGCCGCACGGCAAGGTTGTGTACGGCAGGTTCGTGTCGGGAAGGCCCCTCCTGCGCTGGCTTCTGACACCGCGAAGATCGCCTAATCTTAAACGATCCGCGGCCTTTCCATCACCCGATCTTTCCATATTGGCCGATTCTGGGCCAATGGCGCCGTTCAACCATTAACGCCCGCGGCGGGGTCGCTGCCGCGACGACACGACGCGAACCTGCTGTAAGGATGAGCCAACGAAGCAGAGATAAAGGTCTTAGCCGAACAACGCACGGCGGGACGCGAAGCATCCGAAACGCAAGAACCTTGAGCTTGAGTCGAGCTTGGGCTTCCAGGTGCTAGGCGAGAGTTAGCTCGGAACGTTCAAGAAGGATGCGATGCGCAAGGCGCCAACAACTGTGATCAGAACCTGAAGTGTTGCATTGTCATATGTATTGCGCTGCAGATCCTGTTGCGCTAGGCACACTGCGCGGACTGAGCCGCCCAGGACGTTGCCAAGTGCTGGCCACACTGCACCACGCCAGGCCCTCCCGACCAGGTCGCGAGACTCCGGGGCCGCGCTGGGGCACGCTGAAGCGCGTCGGGACTCTGACACTGTATATACGCCAATCGTCTCGGGGAAACGGCCGGAGGCAGTCCCCTCCCCCTTCTGTCGTCGCCGCCGCCGCCGCCGTCGTTGCCCTCCTCCTTCTCCTCCTTCAAACATTGGAGATGCGGATCGATCTGGTAACAGCTGGGACACCCGAATCGTGCCCCTCCTCCTCCTCCTCCTCCTCCTCCTCATCATCATCATCATCATCCTCCTCATCCTCATCCTCCTCCTCCTGCTTCTCCTCCTCTTCCTCCTCCTCCTTCTGTTCTCCTCCTCCTCCTCCTCCTCCTCCTCCTCCTCCTCCTCCTCCTCCTCCTCCCCATCTTCCTCTCCTAGTCCTCGTCCTCCTCCTCCTCCTCCTCCTCCTCCTCCTCCTCACTATCACTACCATCACCACCACCACTTCCACCACCACCGCCACCACCACCATGATCATCGTCATCAGCAGCAGCAGCATCATCAGAATCACCATCACCATCACCATCATCATCGCCATCATCATCAGAACCACCATCACCATCATTCTCATCATCATTATCATCATCATCATCATCATCATCATCATCATCATCATCATCATCATCATCATCATCATCATCATCATCATCATCATCATCATCGTCATCCTCATCACGACAACCACCACCACCAACACCATGATCATCATCATCCTCCTCATCACCATCAGCATCAGCAGCATCAGCAGCATCAGCAGCATCATCATCAGCATCATCATCACAATCCACATCATCAGCAGCATCCTCATCAGCATCATCACAATCATCACGACCACCATCATCACCATCATCATCATCATCATCAGCAGCAGCATCATCATCCTCATCATCATCAGCAGAAGCAGCAGCATCAGCATCAGCATCATCAGCATCATCATCGTCAACATCATCATCATCCCTCGTCCCTCGCCCCTCGTCCCTCGCCCCGCACCCCTCGTCCCTAGCCTGCTCCTCCTCCTCCTCCGCCTCTTCCTCCTCCTCGCATCCGAGAGCCACTAGACTTTCCCCAGTCAGACGCCAAACTGTGGCTCACACCGGTTCTTGTCTTGTCTTGTCCGCCTCCCCCGCCACCTCTCCTCCTTATGGATAACTCCTCCCTAGCGCACCTCGAAAGGGGTCGGTAGGGAAGGCCAGGCGTTTCGCCTGAGACTTCCTCAACATGTATGATCCTGAAGCTGAGAAAATGCGACAGTTTGACGGATGGAGGGCGGGCCGTTTCCAAGATGTGGCGCCTTAGCGCCGCGCTCATTCGTCTTAAAAGTTTGCCAGAGTTTCACGGGTGAAGGGCGGCGCCTTTTCAAAATGTGGCTCTCGCCATCGCGCCGCGCACGTTCGTCTGAACAGTTTGCAACGAGAGTCACAGGTGGAGGACGGGTCGATTTCAAAATGTGATTCTCGCGCAGGCGCCGCGAAGTCTCGAGGATTCTCATTGTGGCACGATTCAGGACTGTCAGGGCGCGACAGTCACCTGAATTTGCGGTGCTGCAACTCTAGGAAATGCCCTTCTGCGACGAGGTTCCAGGAATGGTGCTTTCGCACAGTTGTAGATCTTCAGACGACTGTCTTCCAACGGAACACGCCCCGCTCTGAAAATACATCATTACAGGGACCTATGAACAGGGAACTTGGAGGGAGGACTTCTTGCAACATCGTTGAGGAGACTTGGGTTTAGACTGGTCCTCCTCCTCCTCCTCCTCCTCCTCCTCCTCCTCCTCCTCCTCCTCCTCCTCCTCCTCCTCCTCTACAGTTACACAATAGGAATACTACTCTCCTCCATCCCCTGATGGCGTGCGGAAGATAGCGAGCACCCCTCCGCGTACGGTTTTTTTTACACACAGGATTTCCCAGAGTTGGGTTTTCGCTTGGGTTGTTTTTCAAAATGATGCTCTCGCTGAGGCGCGGGCTTCCGCTCGTTCCGAATCGTGCTCCCGCTGCAGCGCTGACCTCATTTCCGTGCTTCCGCTCGTTCCGAATCGTGCTCCCGCTGCAGCGCTGGCCTCATTTCCGCGCTTCCGCTCGTTCCGAATGGTGCTCCCGCTGCAGCGCTGGCATCATTTCCCGTGCCATGCCACGGCATGCAATGCAATGCTAGGTTGCGTTCCGCTGCGCGATGCCATGCCTTCAGCTGCAGCTGTCATATCCAGTGCGTAAGTGCCACGTCATGCTATGCCCTGCTACGCTTTGATCTTCAACGCCATGCTATGCAATGTCATGTTCGGGGCCGCTGTGCGATGCCATGCTTTGCGTTGCAAAGCTTTGTGATGCAATTCTTCACTACGCCACGCCACGCCATGCTGTGACATACTACGCTTTGCAGTGCTCTTCCACGCCATGCCATGCCGTGCTCTACAATGCATCGCGTACCCTTTCGGGATCATTGCCCTGCTCAACATCCGACTGTGCGAGTATAGAAGGGATCTATGCCATGGTAAGGGATGGGAGGGGGGGGTAGGATGTCAGATATGACGCGAGCACACCTAGCTTGGCTCCTACTCCTCCTCCTCCGGCTCCTCCTCCTCCTCCGCCTAATCCTCCTCCTCCTCCTCCTCCTCCTCCTCCTCCTTTTCCTCCTCCGCCTCCTGCTCCTCACGAGCCTGATCCTCCTCACTTCCCGTCATCGTACCGCTAATGTCGTACCCCCCCTCGAGATCTATCCTCCCCCCGATCCGCACAATCAGACCACAAGCTGCAAACACGGCCGCCCTGCCGCCGCCACCACGTCGAGACGCAGCAGGACGTCGACTCCAGCAGGTCGTCGGGCGTGCACGCGAAGCCGCTGCCTGCTCGCCAGGAAGAGGAAGAAGGAAGGAGGAGGGGGGGGTGAGGAGGAAGGGGAGGGGGAAGCAGGATGAGGAAGAGGAGGAGGAGGGGAGGACGAGGAAAAAGAAGGAGGAGGGGGAGGGATCCGAAACAAGACGTCGCAGTCGCGGTCGACCCAGTAGAGATGGAAGCAGGCCGAAGTGGCCAGGCGCCCGAGGGGCAGCAAATGCAAGCCAACCCTTGCGCAAAAGAAGAGCTAAGGAGGGAGGCAAAGGAGGGGAGAGGGGGACAAGGGCCCTCCGGAGGCCCTGGACGCCCACGCAGGACACGACAATATTTGAATGGTCCTGGCCTCATCGATCCCTGCCTTTCGATCCCCGATCCATCCTCGACTTTCAACAAAGGCGACGACGACGACGACGACGACGACGACGACGACGACGGCGACGACGACGACGACGACGGGGACGACGACGACGACGACGACGACGACGACGGCGACGACGACGACGACGACGACCACGACGACGACGACGACGACGACGACGACGACGACGACGACGACGGCGACGACGACGACGACGGCGGCGGACGCGACGGCGGCGGCGGCGACGGCGACGGCGACGGCGACCCCGACCGACGACGGGGACGACGACGACGACGACGGCGCCGGCAACGACGGCGACGCCGACGCGAGCCGCCCTCCGCGCCTGCGCCGTCGGTCGTGTCCTCAAAGGTGCCGTCAACCTCCGGGTGCCGCCGGGTACCGTTAAGGCAAAGCGGAATATTCCGCCCTTCGACTTGCGCTGGGGCATATCGCGGGTCCGCTTCGTATCGATCCCGGCGCTGGTTTTTGACACCGCGGGAAAAGTGCAACTTTGAACGATCGGCCGCTTCCTGAACGATCGGCCGTTTCGTTTCTGGAACGATCGTTCAACATCGACCCATTCTGGGTCGCTGGCGGCGCTCAACGTGGAACGCCGGCTGCGGGGTCGCCGCCAGTCGACACGACGCGAACATACCGCACACAGGCTTGTTCCAAATTGCCCTGGAAACCAGGGTTCGTCAAAACGTGTTTCGGTTTGTATGGATTTGCGTCCGTTTGCCCGGCTTGGTTCCCGCTAGTTGAATGGAGAAAAGTTGCTGATCCCACAGGGATCAAGGAGGCGTAAGACCCACATTCGGGAAAGTCGGCTTGGCCTGACAAGGCCGTCACGAAAACGACGAAACCCTGACTGAAATCAAACGGGAACTCCCGTCGATGACACCCCACAATAATTGGACCGTCAAATAATCCAGGCGGGTCCGTCGAAAAACATCGGCAAACCCAAATTCTGGCGAAACCGGGTCTCACTTACGTTTCCCCAGGGGGACCGAGGGGGTCCTGGCCCCGAGCGGGCCTGGCGTGGTTCGGACCGTGAGAGGCTGGGCCGGATCGGAGACGGATCGAGCCGCGCCCGCATGTCGGTGCGGCGTCGGGTCGGCATCGGGTTGTTTGGGATCGCGGATCGGGTTCGGCCATTTTTTAACTGTCCGTTCGTAGCTCCTACAAACACACCACGCGAGTGATTGAGGGCATGGATTCCCTGCTCGGGCGAAACGCGGGGGGGGGGCGCCCGCCAGATGGAAACACACCACGGCGGCGCCGGTGACTAGCGCCAACAGCTGGAGGGCGACAGGCGCGACGCAAACGGCGCCGCGTCAGCGGGGGGGGACAGCAGCGCAGCGCCTCCGCTGCACCAATCCGGTTTGGCCAAAATGGCAATATACAGGGGAGAGAAAGAAAGAGAGAGAGAGAAGGAAAAAAACTGGAAAAAGAGGCGCTTCAGCTAACAGGCAGTGCCGACATAGCAACAAACCCCCCCCAAAAACAAGGGGGGAAGGAGCGGCAGAGGCAAGTGGAAACGGTGCCTGCCTGACGATGACGGCGACGACGACGACAACGACGACCACGACGACGAAGACGACAACGACGACGAGGACGACGACGACGACGACGACGACGACGGCGGCGGCGGCGGCGGCGGCAGCGGCGACGGCGACGGCGACGGCGACGGCGACGGCGACGACGAAGGCGACGACGACGGCGGCGGCGACATCACATGACGACGCAGTGCGGATGCTTCATGGAACGGGCGGGGTTCTGCGGATGCCCGCTGCAGTCGACGACGCAAACGACGACGACGACGACGACGACGACGACGCCGACGCCGACGCCGACGCCGACGCCGACGCCGACGCCGACGACGACGACGACGCACTGCGGATGCCCCATTGGGGGATGGGCATGATGCGTAAGCCCGCTGTACTCGTGGACGACGACCACGACGACGACGACGACGACGCCGACGCCGACGACGGCGTCGACGACGGCGCCGGCGGCGGCGGCGACGATGGACGACGACGCACTGCGGATGCCCCAGGGGGATGGGGTTTGCTGGTACTGCGGATGCCCCACAGAGGGTGGGGGGATGCGAGTCCCGCTGCAGTCGGCGACGACGACGACGGCGACGACGACAATGACGATGACGACGACGAACGACGAACGACGACCACGACCAACGACGACGCCGACGACGACGACGACGACGACGACGACCACGACGACCACGACCGATGACGACGACGAGGACGACGACGACGACGACGAGGACGACGACGACGACGACGACGACGACGACGACGACGACGGCGGCCACAACGACGGCCACGACGACGACGACGACGGAGACGACGTCGACGACGACGACGACGACGACGACAACCACGACGATAACGACGACGACGACGACGACTACGACGACGACCACCACGACCACGACGACCACGACGACGACGAATGTGGTACGTCAGTAGCCAGACTAGAAGGGGAAAAACTTCGCCTCGGATGGATACGTTCCCGATTACAACTTAACTACGAAAAGAAATCGTTTTGAGGCTGCCATGTAGGGGGTTCACGACCCCCGCGGCCGCGCCAGCGACGAGACCCTGTCGCGCGTGATCAAAAAATCCACCGACCGGAGTGGCGCGCGAAAGCAACCCTGCCTGCCATCACTGGCACTCTATTCGAGACAGACCTTCCGCATCATCATCATCATCATCATCATCATCATCATCATCATCATCATCATCATCATCATCAGCAGCAGCAGCAGCATCATCATCATCAACAACATCATCACCACCAGCATCATCATCAGCACCATCATCGTCAGAATCGTCATCATGATCATCACCTTCATCATCAACAGCAGCAACATCATCATCATCAACAGCACCACCACCACCACCAACCAACCATCACCCTAATTATCACCATCATCATCATCATCATCATCATCAACAACATCGTCATCATCATCATCATCATCATCATCATCATCATCATCATCAGCAACATCATCATCATCATCATCATCATCATCATCACCACCAGCATCAACATCATCAGCATCGTCGTCGTCATCATCAGCATCACCATCAGAACCACCGTCATCATATCATAATCACCATCAGCATCACCATCATCAGCGTCACCATAATCATCATCAGCATCATCATCATCAGCATCATCATCATCATCATCACCATCATCATCATCATCATCATCATCATCATCATCATCGTCGTCATCAGTATCATCATCAGCAGCAGCAGCAACAGCATCATCATCATCAGCAGCAGCATTATCAGCATAATCATAATCAGCATCAGCATCGTTCTCAACATTATCATCAGCATCATCAGAATCATCATCATCAGCATCGTCATTGTCATCATCATCATCGTCGTCATCGTCAGAATCATCAGGATCATCGTCATCATCAGCATCATCAGCAGCATCATCATAATCCCACCAGCCCTTTGGGCGTGAGTGGTTTAGCGAGCTCTCTCTGTTCTCAACCCCCCTTCTTCCCCTTCGGGGAGGGGTTTACCCCTCCCCCTACCCCCTCCCCCTGGACCTGGAGGGGGCCTTTCGCGGGTGGTTGGAGGGTCCTTTTCCGACCCCTGGGAGGGCTAAAATTCGACACCCCTCACGAGGATCGTGGCCCCGACGGGGGGACTGGCGGAAATGCTCGCCTCATCTTTGAAGCCAAAATCATTGATTTGACTATGGTGTTGGCCCCATTTTGGCCTTCTGAGGGGGCAGCGCTGATTAAAGCTCCCCTCTTCTTTCATGCCAAAATCATTGATTTTACTAAGGTTTTGGCCCCATTTTGGCCTTCTGAGGGGGCAGCGCTAATTAAAGCTCCCCTCTTCTTTGATCGATTTCCTCCAAGATGGCCCCAAGAAGCGCCCAGGAGGCACCAAGAGGCCCCAAGATGGCCCCAAGAGGCCCCCAGGAGGCCCCCAAGAGGATCCCAAACGGCCCAAAGAGGCCCCCCCGAGGCACCCAAGACGCCGAAAAGCCCATCAGGACGACCCTCTACTCGCCTGGGCGTCGTTTCTGGACGGGCAGGAGGAGGGGCCCGAACGACTCACACCAGGACGAGGGGCCCGAACAACTCACACCACGAGAAGCCCGAACGACTCACACCAGGACGAAGAGCCCGAACGACTCACACCACGAAGAGCCCGAACGACTCACACCAGGAAGAAGGGCCCGAACGACTCACACCAGGACGAGAAACCCCAAACGACTCAAACCACGAGGAGCGCTTTCTCTCCCTCCTCCTCCGCCTCGTCCTTCTCCCGCTCCCCCCACAAGGAGGATGTACAAGGAGGCGGGAGGAAGGAGGAACAGGGGAGATATGCGGGGGCAAGCGGACACACGCCTGAAAAACACGACTGTCGGCATGCTTCGCAAGAGTTGCTGTTGTGAGATGGGCTGGTGGGGATACGCGAAGCGTAAAGAATTACCATTATCAGCATCAGCATCCTCATTATCATTGTCATCATCACCCATCAGAATCATCAGCATCATCGTCCTCATCATCAGCATCATCATCATTATCATCATCATCACCATCATCATCACCATCATCATCTTTATCAACCCCCACGCATCGGCATCCCGAGCTGGCACAGGGGGGGAAACATCGACCTGTAGTCGGCGATACATCGCGGACAGATCGCGATAGGGCCCCAATAGTCAACCCCCACGTTCCTGGGCAGGCGGGGGCTGTCGGACCCCTGTCGGCGATCCATGGGCGATTGGGGGTCGATGCGTTCCTCCGAGAGCCTGTCCCCGTGCCCGATGGCTTTCGGGCCAGAACGCGGCCCTCCCGCGGCCGCTCGGGACGCTCCTGGCATCCCCGGAGACGCTCGCGGCGGGGCGCAGCCGCTGGGAGGCACCTCCTGGAGCCAGAAGACCGCCGAGGGCCGAGGAGAGCGCCCGAGACCCTCGAGCCTCGAAGCTCGGCGCCGAAACCTCCCTGGGCCCTGTCGTCGCCCCCGACTGCCCGCGGGCCCGAGACTCGGCGGCGCGCCAAGGGGGGGGGGAGGTGAGAAGGGGCGGGCCTTCGCAGCAGGCTCAGAAGCCCCCCCGCCTGCCGAGAAGTCTTGTGAGCCTTCCCCAGGACACTGAGGGCTTCTCCGCACGCGCGAGGGCTTCTGAGGAGTCCCGCCGCCCCTCTGAGGTGGCCCTCTCCTTCTCTCGGGTGCTCATTCTGTGGACCTTCGTGGAGACACTCGCTCCACTCGTTAATCGAAGCTGCGTAGAACGTCCGTCGATTTGAGCCGACCTTGAGTCGAACCTGAGTCGAACCTGAGTCGAACCTGAGTCTAACTGGCTTCGAACTAGAGCCGAACAGATCCGCTAGGCGGGCCCCAGGAAGGTCCCCAAAACGAGCATCCAATTCCTCACTCCCCCGCGCCCTCGGACCACGCCTCGCCGACCCACGAGGGAGGCGGGAGCGGCGCGGCCTCGCCCGGCGCCGTGGTGCCGTCGTCGGAGAGCCTGCGGGCGGGCACCTGGAGGCCACGGCGGGGCGACGACGACAACGACGACGACGGCGACAACGGCGACGACGGCGGCGGCGGCGGCGGCGGCGGCGGCGGCGGCGGCGGCGGCGGCGGCGACGACGACGACGACGACGACGACGACGACGACGACGACGACGACGGCGGCGGCGGCGGCGGCGGCGGCGGCGGCGGAAGCGCTGGAGCGAATAAATCGCACTGAGATGGGAAGAAGGTGATTGTAGGTGATGGCCAGCTTGAGCCATTGGCGTGGCTTGTATGCCTGGGGTGATCCATATGCCAGCGTGCCATGAGAATATGATCAATAAATCCTCTGGTGCGCTTGTGCTCTGCGTGCCGAAGGATCACGGATGCTTGGGCTCAGGGCGGCGGCGCTGCCATCGACTACGACAGAGGAGGGAATCGAGGACCTGGTGGCAGCCCAAAGTGGGCCAGAGCAGACGTGGGTGGGAGGTTCGCGCCGCCGACGTCGCGGCAACGCGTCGGCGACGCACAAGCAGCGGCTCGGCGATGACGGGATAGCTAAAATCGGACTTCAGATCGCAAGCACAATCTATGCACTGTGCACAGGCCACACGGCGCGGTTTTCCGACCGCATCTGATCTGGCCCCACTGAGGCGGCCTGGAAAGGAGCGTCGGGGATCGAGGAACGATTTGTTTGTCGCTCATTTGGGAAGCAACTCCTGGGAGGTCCTCGTAAGAGCGATTGGGGGCTATTGAGCCCGATTGAGGAGCCATTGAGCAGCACGAGCCAAAATTCAGCACGGGATTCAGCTGGACTGAGCCAGATGAAGCGGAGCTCAGCGGAGCTAAGCGGAGCTAAGCGGAGCTAAGCGGGATCATGACGGATTGGGTCGGCTTATTGACCACGGATATACCAACGCCTTGAAGGCGGCCGAGGGGTCTGAGCTGGTTAGGCCCCGAGAAAACTAGTCAACAGGGGGGGATGGAGGAAAATCCGCTCAAAGCCGGTCCCAAAGCCCTCCTGGAATCCGTATCGTGCAATGTGTCACCCCGGATCCCATTTGGACGGTCTGGGGGCCCGAAAACGGGCCCTGGAACTAGAGAGAGAGATGGAGAGAGAAAAAAACAACAGAAACAAAACAAAAACAAAAAACTCGAGCCCAGCTGCTCCCACCAATTCCTGCTCGCTGGAACCAGCGCTGGGCCATCCCAGACTCTAAGCCGGCTCCAACTAGCGCCGATGATGAATCTCGCCTCCCAGCAATTGCATGAATCGGCTACACGCAGGTGTGACCCTGGGCCGCGGGGAGGCCAAATCCGAGCGCGCACGCCAGTGCTGGGGGCGCCTTGTGGGCCCGCACCAAAAGGTCGCCCTGGCGAAGGGTCCATCTTACGCGTACGGCAGGTTCGTGTCGAGTCGTGTCGAGTTTCCCCCCGGGAATCGTTCAACCTTGAAAGATCAGCCGTTTCCGGAACGTCAGATCGTTCCACATCGACCAATTCTGGCTCGCCGGCGGCGTTCAACATTGAACGCCCGCGGCGGGGTCACCGCTGGTCGACACGACGCGAACCGGCTTTCTGTCCCCGAAACTTTGTCAAGACGACGGGGTACGGGCTCCCGCTTCCGAAGGAGAAATATCTGGAAAACATAATTGCCAGAGGTCCGCGCGGATTGATTGGATCGGCGCTGCCCGCCCCCCTCCCTGGCGCGCGGAGCATGCCAAGGGCGGCGCCAGAGGCGTCGACAAAGGGGTATGGCGCCTATCCAGAAAATGCGCCTGGCCCTCGGCAAGTTTTGTCTTGTTTTGGAGGCCTGGAAATTGGCACCAACACCAACACAGGGGGGTGCTTCCGCAGGGGGAAGAAGATGATCCTCGATTTCGGTGTCGGTGGCAACATTTCGGCCACCTTGGAAGCCAGAATATTACCACCATCACCGAGACAGGAATCCTCATCCCTCGGTGGAGGCACGCCGCCGATATTGGTGTTGGTGTCAATCTCGAGGCCTGCGACTGTTCTTCTCCCTCGAGTCTCCAGCCCTGGCGCCGTGGTTTCTGGCTCGAAGTCGAGCACGTCCCAATTGCCGGACTGCGCCTCGACGTCGGCCTCGGCATCCGCGCCTCGCAGCTGCAAGCCGGAGTCAACTGCACTGGCCGCGCCCACACCTGCGGCTCTGGGATGAGGGAGCGGATTGGAGGCCTGGAAATTGGCACCAACACCAGCCCACCTCCACAAGGGAAAGATGATCCTAGATTTCGGTGCTGGTGGTAATATTTTGGCCACCGTGGAAACCAGAAAATTACCACCATCACCTATCGGGATCTTCTTCTCTCGGTAGAGGAACACCGCCGATATTGGTGTTGGTGTCAACCTCTACGCCTGCGAGCGGAAGACGCCGTCCCCGTCGAGTCGTACGAAAACCACGATGGGAAGGTTTCGGTTGTTTTCGATCTTCGGGGGCCTTCTGGGCCCGGGGACCATCAATTTACCCGAGCAAAGCACCCTAAAATAGCTGCAAAGGCGTTGGTCATGATTACAACATGGCGAAACGCTACAAAGCTTCTAAACTCAGTTAGAAGTGCGCCGTCTGGACACTTCAAAAGTTACAGTAGCGTGCAAAGTTGTGTAGTCGACCATGGAATACTGTTGGCTTGGACCTGTTCTGAAATATGTTGGAATAGGTCGGGCACGTGTTGTGACAACGTTGTCGATATTGGTGATGATGTTTTTGCAACGAGGCCGCAAACAGTTTGCAGCAGCACAGCAAGGGTCTATCCGCCACCGTGCCTGCGCGGCGTGGGCGCGTTAGAATGTTCGTATGGTCCGACCCCCCTGAGGCCGACCCCCCTGCATCACGACCAGGTTTTAAAGATCACCCACCTGAAGTTCCTCCCCGGCGCTCTTTTCGGCCTCTAGACGGCCAAGATGGCCTCCAAGACGGCTTCTGAGACAGCCAAGACGACACCAAAACGGCTCAAGATAGCCCAGGACGGCAGAGGAGGCTCTCAAGACGTTCTCCTGACGGCCCAAGAGGCCCCCAAGACGGCCCAAGAGGGCTCCATGAGGCCCTCCAATGACGGCCTAAGAAGCTCCAAAAGGCCTTCCTGAAGAGCCCGAGGGGGCCAAACCCATTGATTTTCTTTAGGTGTTGAAAGAATCCGAGGTTCTCGCCTGTTCGGGTTTCTGGCCGCCCAAAACGGCCCAAGAAGCCTCCAAGAGGCCTAAGATAGCTCCAAGACCGCCCAAGGGGCGCCCAAGAGGGCCCCAAGACGGCCTCGAAGCGCCCTAAGAGAGCAACAGGACGGCCCAGAGAGGCCGTTTGGGCGGTCGGAAACCCGAACATGCCAGATCCTCAAATTGTTCAAACACCTAAAGAAAGTCAATGGTTTGGGCCTCCTCGGGCTCTCCTGGAGGGCCTCCTGGGCCGTCTTGGGGGCCTCGTGATCTGTCGTGAAGCCAGCATCGAGGCAGACCAAGAAGCCCCCAAAACGGCCCAAGAGGGCTCTTGGAGGCCCTCCTGGAGAGCGCGAGGGGGCCAAAACCATTGATTTGCCGTTGGTTTCTGAAGGATGCTCGCCTAATGAATGCGCCGCACGGAACCTCTCCAAGGGCCACATTCCAAAACCATGCGCAAATCCGTCCGTGTTGCTGCTCAAAGAATCTACCGAACGCGCGCGGCGCTGGAGCTAGAGCCACATGTCGGAAACCATACACCCACCATCTGCGCCACCCCTGGGAATTCCAACATCGAGGATCATGAGTGATAAGGCCTGGTCCGCCCAACCCACACGTCTGTTGGTGCGGCGAGTAAGAGCTCTTCATAAGGAGAAAGCGATGGAATGGAGAGGAGGAGCGGGGAGGAGGTAAAGGAAGGGGAGAAGGAGGAATCCAGAGGAAGGGGACAGGAAATAAAAGGGAGGAGGAGGCGGATGAGAAACGTGAGGAGGAGGGAGTGAGAAGGAGGACAAGAAGGACGAGGACGAGGAGGAAGATGAGGAAAGTTGAGAGGATGGCAAGAATGAAGGGGAGAAGGAGGTGGACGAAGAGGCGGGAGGGGGACTGAGGGAGGAGGAAAGGAGGCAAGAAAAGGACAAAGAGGGCGAGGAGGATGAGTATGGGGGAATGAGAGGATAAGACTCTGCAGGGAAGCGTCGCGGGGGGGAATGATTGGCGGACGACGACGACGACGACGACGACGACGACGACGACGACGACGACGACAATGTCGTGAAGAGGTCGACGACGAGGACGAAGGCTATCACAGAAAGGCGGAGGGCCCGCGGCTCCCAGCAGCAGGACGATCTGGAGGCCCGAGGCCATGGCACGCCCAGGCCTGCGGCTTACGCACCTCTCCCCCTCCTCCTCCTCCTCCTCCTCCTCCTCCTCCTCCTCCTCCTCCTCCTCCTCCTCCTCCTCCTCCTCCTCCTCCTCCTCCTCCTCCTAGGAGCGAGGCCTGATCATCTCGAACAAGACCAAGCTGCTGGCGTCGGACACGCAACTGGGCCGAGAGCTACAGGCGGAACTGGAGTCGCCTGCTCTGCCGCTGCAGTTGGCGCTGGACGCCACTGACCTGGGCGGCGACGCGGCAGCTGGGCGGAGGCGCTGCTGCAAGAAGCAACGCAAGAGGCCGCTGGCGGCCGGCAGACGCGCTAGCCGCATCACGAGAATGAGGAGGAGCGCGGCTCTCGCCAAGGAGGCGCAGGGGCTGTGGAGCACGGGGGCTTCTCCACAGGCCACCTACGGCCACCAGCTCCAGGGCCTGGCGCCGTCGAGCGTCAGGAAGCTGAGGCAGCAGGCGGGCGCGGCAGTTGGAGGCAAAGCTGGCGGACGCTGCCTCACCACGGTCCTGGCGGCGGGGCTTGAGGAGGACCCAGCCATCAAGCTGCGCATCCAGTTGGTAGACTCGTGGCTGGAGCTCTGGGAGACGGCGCCTGAGGTCCATGCGAGGATCCATAGAGTCTGGCCTGCCATCCGCGGCGCGCTCCTGAGCGCCGGCGCAGCCCGGCGCTGGCGGCGCGTGCGTGGCCCTGTCGGCGCACTCGTGGCAACGCTCATGGACGTGGGCTGGGATCCGCGCACTGCTGGCGCGTGGAGCAGGCCAGAGGTGGACGGCACGATCACGGAGTGGCACCTGGTGGAGTCGAGCTCGGAGGCCTTTGGGAGCTTCATCGATCGGCAGCCCATCCTGCACGACCTCCGCGAGGACATCATGCGCCAGCTGTGGAAGCAGGCGGCGGCCCACGAGGACGGCGGCAACTTGGGGAGCGGCGCGGACATGCTGCATGCGAGGCGCGAGCTCGACCGATATGCTCGAAGAGGCATGTGGGCGGAGTGGAGTCGCACGATGGCAGTGATAAGCGGCGGGCAGTGGAGCCGCGCCAGGAAGCGAGAGCGCGGCTATGCCGTCAGCGCCACCTGCCCGAGATGCGGGCTGGAGCCAGAGACGCTGACCCACAGGATCTGGAAGTGCACGGAGAACATCAGCGAGGGCAGTGAGTTCGCCAAGTCGGAGCACCTGGTGGCGAGGGCGCTGGCCAGTGTAGAGAGTGAGCCCTCGGTCTGGCTGCGAGGCCTAGTGCCGAACCACCTCACCACCCCCAGGTTCGATGAAGAGCGATTGGCTCAGGAAACCTTGTTTTTTGGGGTAGGTGAGCTGGGTGACTATCGGAGGGACGGGGTTTTGACGCTGTTTGGGGACGGGTCGGGAGGGAAGCACTCGGACGATCAGCGTCGCCGTAGGTGTGGAGCGGCTGTCGCTGCCCTGGCCTGGCGTGAAGATAGCTGGTGCCTGGGGGCGATGATAGCCGCGCCGCTCCCTGGCTGCCGACAGTCTGTGCCCCGATCGGAGACGCTGGCCCTGGCGATGGCCCTTGAGCAGACTACGGGATCGGTGCATTTCGTGACGGACCATCAGGGTCTTTTAAAAGCCTGGCCCCGGAGAAGGCGCAAGGCCACCAGGGGGCCCAACGAGGATCTCTGGGCGAGAATTCGCGCGGCGGCCGAAGGCCGCGAGGTCTCTCTGGAATGGGTCCCCTCTCACGCTGAAGAGGAGGACGCGGGCCGTCTGGTCACAGATGGGGACCTCTTCCTTGCTGTGGGCAATGCCACGGCCGACCATGGGGCGGGGGAGGCGGCGGATCGGGCTTGGGAGGGATTCGTCATGCATGCTGCTCCCCACGCTGACAGTTGGGATGCTGTTGCCGCTCTTGTCAGACGTCGAGCGTCCAAGGCCTTACAACTTGCCCAGGACTGCGACACGACCCGGGCCGAGCGCGAAGATATCGCGCCTCGTGGGGCCCGCGAGAGCGGTGTGAAGATAGCTCTCCGCGAAACGGGCCACCAGATGGCCCAGGACGGCGCTAAATGGAGATGCGAGGTGTGCAACCAGCGAGTGCATGCCTCGAGCCTGCTGGAGTTCTGCAGCACTGCGTGCGTACCTCCGCCAGCCCCGCCTGTCCCACCCCCCCCCGTCCTGAACAGGGCCCCCAGGGCTGTGGGCGAGGGTGTTTTAAGGGGCCTGGGCGGGTGGGAGCTGCACAGCACTCACAGACTTGGAGAGTGGCCCAAGTATTGCATGGTGTTCTGCCACGAATGCGGTAGGTATGCGACGGAAGATTTCAGACATCTCGAGGCCAGATGCCTTGGGAGATCACGGAAAGGAGCCGAGAATTTAACTCGCATCAGCCGAGACCAGTACCCACGCCGCGAGGGCCCTCCTAAATCGGTCATCGAGGCGTTGCATGCGCGCGTTTGCGCTGAAGAGGTGGCCAAAGCGACTGTGGCGGGGGACCCTGGGGCCCGAGGACCTGCCCCATCGGCTGCGGCTGCGTCGAGAGCTCAGGACCGCGCTCCCACGGTGATTCCTGGCGACTCCTCTCAGCCTGTGGCAAGGCCCCTCGACCCAAAGGACGAGGCAGCAGAGTGGCGTTTCGGCGGCGCGGACGAGGACGATCCGTGCCCGCCAGATTTGGCGTGAGATGCGCCTGATAATTGAAGCCGGTTTCCAGCAAGGACTCGCAGATCGGATGCCTGGTGGAATCTGCAGCGAGTTTTTACGCCGGACTGCTGTTGCCGAGCCACTTGTGCCAGCGGTGCTCCGGCAGAGCGTTTCCGGGCACGCTGGATATAAATCCGAAGACGGCTCTTCGGCACCAGGGTCTTTGGTGTTGTTTCGAACTTTCCCCTTGGTGCTGCGATGGTTGGACCTCGATGCTGGGCAGGTGGTCGATACACTAGGCGTAATCCTTTCAGCGCGTGATATCCTCCTCGTCCCTGCCGCCGCCGCCTCCGCCCGCCTCAGCATCCGGCCGCCTCCTTCCTCCTCTCCTCCGCCCACTGCTCCTCCTCACTCCTCCTCCTCCTCCTCCTCCTCTCGCTCCTCATCCTTCCCTCCTCCTCCTCCCTCCTCCTCCTCATCCTCTCTCATTCATCATCATCATCATCATCATCATCATCATCATCATCATCATCATCATCATCATCATCATCATCATCATCATCATCATCATCTTCATCATCATCATCTTCATCATCATCATCATCATCATCATCATCATCATCATCATCATCATCATCATCATCATCATCATCATCATCATCATCATCATCATCATCATCATCATCATCATCATCATCATGATCATCACCATCATCATCATCAGCATCATCAGCATCATCAGCATCATCATCATCATCATCATCATCATCATCAGCATCATCATCATCATCATCATAAGCAGCATCAGCATCATCATCATCAGCAGCATCATCATCAGCATCGTCATCATCATCAGCATCATCATCAGCATCATCATCAACATCATCATCATCATCATCATCATCATCATCACCATCATCATCGTCATCATCATCATCATCATCATCATCAAAGGCCGCCGCGCGCTCAAGCCTTCGGTGACACAGCGGTCTCCTCAGAAGAGCCCTCCATTGTTCGCCAAGAGGCAGAGAGCACACTGCGATGGCAGCTCGCACGGATGCCAGCTCCGGAGGTGCGCCTCGTGCGGCATGCTGACGCGTTGCATGCTGAGGCCGGTTGAGGAGGTCTCCCACAAGTGGGAGCAACACTATGAGCACAAGCCGCTGCTTATGCGCCACACATCCAACGAGCACACCGAGCAGCAGCTCGAGCAGCTCGACGGCGCCGAGAAGAGAAAGCTGGTGGCGGTAAAGGCGGAGTACGAGCTGCTTACGAAGTTCTTGGCAGTGGTGCGGCGCAGCAACCAAGACGAGAAGGTGTACGACAACCACAAGACCGAAACCAAGGGTCAGGTTGCCATCGTCATGGGGAACTACCACCTCGCCTGAGCAACTTACCGAGCGAAGTCCAAAGTCGAGTATCACTTCCAGTGCAATCGCTGCGACGATGGCAAGGTGCGCATCTTCTTGCATACTATCAAAGGGAGCTACTACTTCACTTGTGCCGCCAACGGAGAGCAGTCCAACATCGTGTACATCGTTGAGTACCACGGCTGCGACGACGGCAACGTGCGCATCTTCTTGCACTTTCGTACCGCGCAGTTCGTGCTCACGCAGAAGGAGTCCGAGAAGTCACAGCAGGAGAACCTGAAGGCTGAGCACGAGCCGCGCACGAAGCTCATGGACGAGGCGCGGGGGGACACACTCAAGGATGACGTTGCCAACATCGCTGGAGCAGAGCAATACCACGAGAGGCACTACGACGAGCCCTTCGCCGACATCATGCGTTACGGAGTGCACAGTACCAAAGGAGGCACTACGATGAGCCCTTCGCCGAGACTATGCGCTACAGAGTGGAACAGTACCACGGGAGGCACTACGACAAGCCCTACGTCGACATCATGCGCTACGGAGTGGAGCTGTCCCGCAGGAGGCGCTACGACGAGCCGTTCGCCGACATCATGCGCTACGGAGCGGAGCAGGACCACAGGAGGCACTACGACGAAGGAGCGTGCCGAAGTGCGCGCGCCGCCAGTCTCAGCAGCTTCTGTCTTCGCTTCTAGGCCAGACCCTCCAGCAGCTGCCGACTCGGGGTCGGCAGGACGCGCGCAGCCAGTCTCAGAAGACTCAGAGCTGGAGCATGCCGCAGGGGGTGCGCCGCCAGTCCTAGAAGACTCAGAGCTGGAGCATGCCGCAGGGCGTGCGCCGCCAGTCTCAGCAGCTTTTGTCTTCTTGTCTGGGCTAGCCGACTCGAGGGTGGCAGGGCGTGCGTTGCCAGTCTCAGCAGACTCAGAGCAGGAGCATGCCGCAGGGCGTGCGCCGCCAGTCCTAGAAGACTCAGAGCTGGAGCATGCC